GCAGATGTAACCACAAACCCCTCCAGGGCATCTAATAACTGATGACACTCACCAAGGTTGACATGTCCTTCTGCCAGGCTGTACTCATTAAGGCTGGCAGTTTTACTAGAAGCTGCTACTTCAGCTTGCTACCAAGGATCATAGATTTAAATCTGGAAGTCACCTTAATACAACCCCCTCATTTTAGAGATGAGGAAACAAGACCCAGAGAGTGACTTGCCTAGGGTCATTTAGTGGCAGAGCCACTATGTGAGCCTAGGTCCTCAAACTCCCTTTCCAACCCTGTTTTCATGACATCATGCTTCTCTTTTTGATGATTAATCACTAGGACACTGATGTATATATCATATCTGATTCCAAATTTAAGGCTCATTCTACTGCACCATACTGCTTTCTGTCATGTAATTTTCAGATTTGTATACATATACACAGAGACATAGTGATATAGGCAGACACACACACACACACTCTAAAGAGTTCCAAGAGTGTATGGTCTGCTGGACAGTAGAAAGTGTGGATGAATAGATGGATCAGAGGTAAGCTAGGTGTGACTGAGTAAGTTAGTGTAATGAATTACAGAAAATGAGGTGTGCAATCAGCAAAAATTCACAGAGGCCTTGTGAAAAAGGTGGAAAGCATATGAAACATTATCATTTCCCTTCACCCCTCCCAAAAATTTTTTTCCCAAAAACTTTCTGTGAGTTATAGTTTTTATTAGCTGATTAATTCATTAGTTATTTATTAAATATCCACTACATGCAAAACATGGCAGCTAGGTGGCACAGTGGGTAGACTGCCAGACTTGGGAGTCAGGAGGACCTGAGTTTAAATCCAGCCTCAGACACTTAATAGTTGTGTGACCCTGAGCAAGTCACTTCACCCTGTTTGCTTCAGTTTCCTCATCTGTGATACGAGCTAGAGAAGAAAGTGGCAAACCACTCCCATATCTTTGCCAAGAAAACCCCAAATGGGATCATGAATAGTTGAACATGACTGAAATGACTGAACAACAATAACAATGTACAAAACACTAGGCTAAAGTATTAGAAAGTAATTTGTGTATCATTACGGTAGTTTTAAATTATGATGACCAAACTTAGTTATCACCTTTCCCAGACCTGGAACACATCTGATTTTGAAGGCATACCTCTCCCTTGCTCCTTCACAACTGGCTAAAAGCTTTTCCCCCCCTAGGATTTTGCCATGGTCAAGAATTCCCTATGTGGGAATTCCCTCCACCACAGCACGACTTGTCTATGACTTGGTAGCTAAATGCTAAGGCAGAATTGGACCAAATTCAGTTAGTCAGTCAGTGAACAAGGACATGAGTTCAAATCATGGCTCAGCCACTTAGTACTTGTATGACCTTAGGAAAATCACCTAACCCCTTTAGGATTCAATTTCTTCAACTGTAAAATGAAAAGGTTGGACCAGATAACCTGGAAGTTCTCTTCCATCTTCAACCAGTGATCCTAGAGAGTTGCCTGACCCGTGTTAAGCTTAAGTGAGATGCCCAGGGACACGTAGCTAGTAAGTACTCTAACTGCTATACAGCCCTGCTTTAACACTAGGTTCTAAGAAAGCAGCACGGTGCAGAAGAATGAACCCTAAATGTGGAGCCAGAGGCTGTGGATTTGAGGCCTTACTCTGCTATTTGCTGCCTGTGTGATCTTGGGGAAAGACTTCAACCTTTCATTCCCTTATCTTCAAAATGGTAAAACGGTGCCATTTGCAGATACTATCTTTTAAGGTCCCTCATGACCTCAAATCTATGATTCTATGCTATAGCTTTTAAATTAACGTATTTTTACCTTGGTCAGGCAGCCACATCTTTCAAATTGTTCAGAGGCAAACCAAAGACAGTGAGGCAAATAGCCTATTTAAAAAAAACACAGCCTGTATTTCCCAAGAAAATGTCCCAAAACATCACTCCTGTTTTAGTCAACTGAAAAAAATGTTTTTGTGACTTTCCAAAGTTTTAAAAACTCTTAAAGATGGTTATTACTCCTTAACTACACCTATATCTCTGTCTTTCCATATGTACTCATGTATGTATGTATATATATATGTATAAATGTATATGTGTATGTATAGACATACAACTGTAGATATGCATGCATGTATGTTTACAATTGTATGTATGTGTATGTGTTCATGTGTGTATTAGATCCCCTTGTAACTAACAATGAACTGTGTTCTTCTACCATGAGATAGGGATCAGGATAGGGACTGGACCTGTGGTTGCCTTGGTGTGGCAGTGAACTCTGAGGGAGCCACCTCCCTCTACCAGTCAATGCAGATCGGCACTTTAGAGTCTCACAGCACCTTTTTTGTGTTATGGACAATTTTGGTAGTCTAGTGAAACCTACTAACCTCTTCTCAGAAGAATGATTTTAAGCACATAAAATAAAATACGTAAGATAAAAGGAAAAGTATGTTATCACAATATTAAGCATATTTTCTCTCATTCAGACTCACTGTTTCAGAGAATTGCCTAGAACACCAAGTGACTTGGCCAGAGTCACATGGTATCTATCATTGGTGGGACTTGAACTGAGGTTTTCCTCCCTTTAAGAAGGGTTCTCTATTGACTCGACCACTCTGCCTCTCTATCATGGGAGCCAATAACCATAAGATGCATTAAAACAATGTTCGATGCACCAAATCGATGCCACATGGAGACAACTGATCTGTAACACAAATGAAATATGATTTATTATCATTAAGATTATGGATATAAATACACATGTCTTTTTGATTTCAAGTCCATCCTGTTAAAGGAATCCTTAGAGGTGATTTGCGCCAATGTCAATCAGTACCAGACACCTAAGAAATTGACTGATGGATCAAAGGGCACTAAGAGATAAGCACAGGCACATAAAATTAGCCCTATTGTCACTAACCCCTTCCTCCCTCTCTTATCTACTTTCACACACAATACATTAAGAGCCTCCCTCATTTCTACCACCCTCGGTTTCTAAGTCTTAGCTTCCTTCTCATAATATTTCTTCTTTTTACCTCTTTTTTCTCCAAGAATTTTAAGAATGACTTAAGTAAGACTTGGGGCATCTAGGTGGTACAGTAGATAGAGCAGGGTCTGGAATCAGGAAGACCTAAATTCAAATCCAGCCTCAGCCCAATACTTACTGGTTGTAAGACCCTTGGCAAATCACTTAACCCTGTTTGCCTCAGTTTCCTCATGGGTAAATGAGCTGGAAGAGGAAATGTCAAACCACTCCAGTATCTTTGTCAAGAAAACCCCAACTGGGGTCGAGTCAGATAGGACTCAACAGCAACAGCAACAAAATACGTAAGACTTAACAGTTCTTCATGCTTTTCCATCTTCATTAGGAAACTGCCATGCTGGGAGAACTTTACTTGACAGTTCAGACTTTCTGAATAGTGTAATAATTACAGCAGGACAAGCAGCCTGGGCAATGTAACATAGCTCTATATTCCCCAAAAGGAGCACAGAGAGGGTGGGCGGAGCAACAGAGCAGACACAGACTTCCTGCCTTAAATCTATGATCCTAAGAAGTTGCCAGAACATACAGGGACCCACACTAATAATTTTTTAGCTTGGCAAGAAACTAATTTCAACACATCTGCTTCTTGCCAGCAGCTGCTTCTATTTTCTAGGTCCCAGGAGTCACCGAGTTCTGTCAAAGGACTGAGGATTCGATTCTCCCTCAGTTACAGACAGTGGGAATAGAAGTGATCAAAGTCATAGGTGAGCTCGAACCACTAGCTAGGTTTAGGCCAAGGACTACAAATCACTAATTATGCCTTGCATTATTCATTCTGATTTTCTGGCTCAATCAATACGATGACAGGGAAGAGGATAAGAATGAGTTTGAAGACTTTTCTATCTTAAGGAAATCATTTATGCTTATGATTTGCCTGGGCAGAGTCGAGAAGTGATTTGAAGAAGGGTGGGGCAGAGCTGCAACATGAAGGGGAAAGAAATACCCACCAGGGACCTACTTTTGTAATGCACATTCCATTTTCTTTCCCTCATGTAACTGGGTTCCTGCTTTTTTAATTCCTTCCACATTTCCTGCAGTAATTGTCAAATATTTGGCTTCTGACTTCACTTGTTCTTGGAGGCCAGAGCCCCCTGGGAATTTAGTATTGTTTATTTTCTGAAAATAGGCCTTAGAGTTCATGGGAGATGAGTGATGGGGTTCCCGGGGTGCAGGGTCTGTCTATTCCTAATGACAGGAAAGGGGCCTCAAAGTTCAAAAGGAAACATTTGCCAGGAAAGCTCTGAAATACTTTCACTGATAATCCTAGAGCCCCCAAAGCAAGTACCAGATACATCACTAATATTCGTGCAGTCAGGGTTTAAGGGATCATTTTCATTCTGGTACTTATTAGGGTATAAGTCTGCCCCTGTTAGCGTCTCAGACTTGAATACTAAGCTAGAGAGAGGGGCAGGAAGAGAAACAATCTCAGGGAAATCGTCTAACACTTCAGAAAGAGAACTTTTTTCACCCCAGGAGAAAGAAGAGAGACATTTTCTTCCATTTCAGCCTAGCGTTTTCTTTGTGGGCAGATAGTATTGGCGGGCGGTTGGGGGTGGGGGAGTGGAGAAGGAAGGCTTCCCCATTGAGAAGGCAGCTCAAGACGTCCTTTAGAACTCCGCAGCATGTGGGACACCTCCTCTGGTCTCGGTTGGATTCTGGCGGCTCTCTCCCTCTCCCAGACCCCACTCCCTCCATGTTAATGCTGTGTGTGTGCGCGCGCGAGTGCCTGTCTTCCTCTACCCAGCCGACTTTTGCCAATTTAGGGTTTATACTTAACTTTCGCAGGCGGAGGAGGGTCACACGCAGCCCAGAGGCCACTCGCTCAATCCTCCTCCTAGCACCCCCCTCCCCACTTTAGTTCTCCCAAGTCTGCTGCAGCTTTAGGGTTAGCCCGGGGCGGTGCAGCCAGCCGCAGGAATGACCCAGTTGCTGCGGCTCGAGTGGCCCGGCCGGACTGGGTGGCAGCTCACATACCTCAGCGTGGACCCAGGCGATGGCCAGCAGGGCGAGCACGGGCAGGCTTTTCCAGATCTGTGAAAGAGAGGGCGTCATGGGGAGACTGGTGTGTGGTGGGGTTGGGGTAGAGAAAGAGAGAAAGAAATGCAGCTTCCCCCCCCCCCACCCCTAGACCCCACCCTGCAAACTTCCTCCCGCTGCCCCTTTCCTGTCCTTTCTACTCTCCAGGAACTCCCTTGAGCCCAGCCACCCCAGGACCCCGGGCCGGCCGGCCGTGAGGTCGGCGCCCCTCCAGCTCCCTCACCATCCTGGGTCTCCTTGGGTCCCGGGCGGACGGCGCAGAGCAGAGAGCCAGGAGACAAGCCCACTCGGGCCAGGCAGAGGGAAGTGAAGGTGGGATCTTTGCTTTTTCTTCTGCCTCTAGAGGAAATCTGATCGGGGCTCCAGGGGAGGAGAAACTCTGTTCCACCCTCCGCCTCCCCATTAAGACCCCTCCCTTCCTGACTGCCACCCCGCGGAGCTCCTCCCTATCCTCCTCCCCCCATCAGCATCAGCTGCCCCCTCAGCTCTCTGTTCCCTCTCCCTCTTTGCCTCCTCCTCTTCCCCCGCTCAGCCTCAGTGATTCTGTCGCTTAGCCCTTCGTTCTCCTGTCTCTCTCCTTCCCTCCCCTTCCCCACCTTCCTTCCCCTCCTTCTGCTTTGTTGCTATTAGCAGCACCCCCACCCACCCACGCAGGAGTCTCTTTTGGGGTTCGGGAGCTTCAGGGATGGGGATGAGTTGGGTAAGGGGACCCGAAACTGAGAAGCCCTCCTCCCTCTACATCCTCCCGCCACTCCCGAGTCTCCTGCTGCAACCTCGCTCCCCCATCCCGGGGCGCCTGCAGAGGCAACCAGGTGGGCGGTACCCGAGGGTACTGGAAACCCCGGCAGCTGGGAGGAGACAGGAGAGAGTAGCCTTTGGAAGGGGAGGAGTGGCGCCTCTCGATTTAAGAGAACGATTGAGGGAGGGGGAGAAGAGGTTTCTCTGCAGTTCGTGGCAAAGTGGGGAGAGGGGCCTCTGCAATGGGGCTTGGAAGGTGCCCCTAAAAATGGACTGTGAGGAGGGAGAGGGGGAGGGAGGGGAATGGAAGGGCCAGAGGAGAGCTCTGTAGCTGCTTTAGAGGTTGAATGAAGACCCGGTTTTCCCTTCCTTAATCTTGGATGTCCTGGGGAAAAGGCGAAAATCTTTCCTACTGTACTTACTATATACCATCGTGAAAGAGCTCTAACATTTAACCTCATCACCATCGAAACTCCTCTTCTTAACCTTTCCCTCCAGTTTCAGAAAGCGCTGTGTCCCTCCCTTCCACTCTGTAAGCCAACCATCTGCCTGTGCCCTTAAGCCTATGCCCTCCCAGTCCTTGAGGGACTTTGTTTCCCTAATTATGCCAACCCCTCCAGCATCTTCCATAACTCCCTCTCCCCCAGCTCCTTTCCCTCTGCCTTGCACGGTATCCTCCTTTATTTAAACAACGGCAGCAGCAGCAACAGAACCCTTTCTTAGCCGTGCTCTCGCGTCTAGTCCAGTGTACCTAATTTTTCCTGTCAAAACCTCTCAGTTTCCTGTTTCTTCTCTCTCCTAAACATCCTGCAATCTGCTTCCATTGTGTTCCTGAAACCGCTCTCTTAAAGGTAGTGATGATCTCACTGTCTAATCCTCATTCTCCTTCACCTCTTAGTTGCACTTTACTGTCAGTCAATCAACAGACATTTATTCCATGCTAAAGCCTGTGATGGAGGAAAATAAAATAAAAAACAAACAACAACCAGAATAAAGCAAAGTCCTTGCCCTTCTTAAGTTTACAATATAGAGAAAGAGATATGTGTATACAATACAAGGTCATGTATAAGTGTCATCTGAGTATTATGATAATAAATACTCTGCATAGTTACTCAATAAAAATGTTTGTTGAATGAAAAAAATGAGAGTTCAAAGGAGGGTGATTTTAGTTGAGATGATAAGGAAAGGTTTCACAATGGATTTGCCACTGTTGACTACTCCATTATTATTTTTTTTTGGATGAGGCAATTGGGGTTAAGTGACTTGCCCAGGGTCACACAGCTAGTAACTGTTAAGTGCCTTAGGCCGGATTTGAACTCAGGTACTCCTGACTCCAAGGTCAGTGCTCTATCCACTGTGACACTAGCTGTCCACTACTCCATTCTTTTTGAAAAACTCTATTCCTTTGGTTTCCATGATGCCATATTATCCTAATTTTCCAACTATCACTTCTTGTTTTATTTCTTTAGTGACTCCTCTTTATCCCATTGTCTTTTCACTGTGGTTTTTCCCTAAGGTTCAGTCTTTGACCTTCTGCCTTCTCCGCCTCACTATATTCTCTCCCTTAAAGATGACATCAGTTCATGGGGTCATCGTCTCTATGATAAAGTCTACCAAATGTATAGAGCAAGGAAGACTGGGAAAAGAGTTTAAAAATCTGGACTTCGTCCTAGTTCCACTTCCTTCCTAGCTGTATGACTTTGTACAAGTCACTCGACCTCTAAGAGTTTGAGTTTCTTTATCCGTGTAGTGGAGATAACAATATTCATCATTATCTAACTCATGGAATTGTCTTGGGTCAAATGAAATAAGCATGGAAATTTTAATGTAACTGTTACCTGTCTATAACTTAAAGTTTTAGGGAGGTCCTTGAGTTTTAGAGAGTTTAACGGCTAGTAAGTATCAAAGATCAGATTTGAGCCCAGATCTTTTTGATTTAATGAGAATAATAAGAATAGGTAATGTTTATATAGTGCTTACTATGTGCCAGGCATTGTGCTAAATGTTTTACAATTATTATCTCATTAAATTCTCTCAACAACCCTGGGAGGGAGGTGCTATTGTCATACCCATTTTACAGATGAGGAAACTATAGGGATTAAGTAACTTACTTGTCCAGGTCACTCTGGGTAGCATCTGAACTCAGGTGTTTCTGACTCCAGGCAGGATGCTCTATCTATTATACCACTTAGCTTTTAGGTTTAGCGTTCTATCCATACACCAGGCTTCCAAGGCCAAGGTTACCCTCTGCATCCTGGGCCATCTTGACTTTTGTTCTGCCATTGGATTTTGATGACTCTGGAGGAGAGAATGAGGCTGATGACTTTGTATAACTTTACCTTACTTGAATTCAATTCACAGGAAAGTCAAGCCATCACCCTGGCGATGTAATTGGTCTTCTTCCAGAATGAAGGATGATCAACAAAACACTTTGCAAATGTAAAGTCCAGCGATAGTAAACCACTTCGGGACCAAGTAGAGTGGGGATACTGTACCCGCTTTTCTTAAGGGGTCCTTCTGTTATGGTCCCATTCTCTCAGTCCAGCCAGGTTTATTCCTGGGAGATTCTGGCCTCTACTGAGAGGAGTGCTAGGATCCCTCTTGACAGTCAGTCATCCCCTAGCCTAGTACCCAGGAACAAATTAGTTAAAGCTTAGGGTTAAACTCACATTTAGGAATTCCCCTAAAGGAGGGAGCAGAAAGGTACTCAGTGTACAATATGGACCAGGCATAGGACGAGTTCTTGTTGTTGTTGTTTTTCCTACAAACAAAAGAAATGCTAAAAAACTAAAAGAATCTCACAAGCATTTATAGTAAGACTGAGTCTAAACAAGAGACAGTGTTAACCACTGCTATACCACATTGGGAGATTGGTATTTAAAACCATCTAAATATGAAGCAGCTTGTAAGACTGCTAATTGAATATTTACTATTTCACCTTGGCTCTGCACTGTCTCACTCACAGTCCATGTCTTCTGGGAAGCAGAGCTTCAGCTCCTCCACTTGGTGGTGGTCGATTTTCTGATGTAGATGCTTTCCTTGCCACTTGTCATCTTCAGTCATTGGACCCAGTATCTAAAATCACAAAGTCACCTCTCAACCTGGACACATCCTCCTATAGAAGAATGTGCAGCCCCTTACTCAGGAAAGGAAATATAAAGCAAAAAAGACAGCCAGGGGACCAGGTTTAAACTCCATTTGTTGCACCCAAATTCCACATAGACTCGGCCATGGGGTGGAGGTTAAGAGCGAGTCGCATTACTTGCCAAAAGCAAGAGGAAAGCAGCTGGAAGTTGTTTCTCCTTTTGATTGACACAGCCCACCCTTTCGCCCCTTGCCACCATCATAAAACAGGAAGAATTTGGTTTTCTGTATGGTATCAAAGTGGGCTGGGCCTAGAGTCAGGAAGTCCTGAGTTCAAATCTGGCCTCAGAGACTTATTAGCTGTGTGATCCTGGGCAAGTCACTTAACCCTGTTTGCCTCAGTTTCCTCATCTGTGAAATGAGAATGACAAATCACTCCAGTATCTTTGTCAAGAAAACCTCAAATGGGTCATGAAGAGTCTGAAATGACAAAACAGCAATGAAAATGGTACCAAAACAATGAATCTCATTTCTGAGGTACTGAAGTAGTCAGAAAGCTCATTTCCTCTGATGCACCCACATGCTGAGTGACCAAGTCTCTGAAATCCCCAGAATTTCCATCGGACCTCTAGGTATGTGGTCCTTGGGATGGCACCTATGGGCCAATTCACACTTTACAAAAGCACTAACTAAAACTCCGCAAATGTTCTCTACTGTGGTGCAGAGGTGAGTTTAGGCTGTTAAAATCTATGTCAGCAGAGCCTCTGTCAGGCCTTGCCAAAATGGAACAACTTTGAATGGAACGGCCTTAGCCAGTGCCTCTCTTCATCTGAGGACCAGCCTTGCTAGGCTGAGAGAAGCTTATTCTCAGAAAGCTGACCATCAACAGGTGAATAGATTTTTGCCTGGAGCAACTCATGTTGTTCATGTAAGTCCACTACAGCATGAAAGGATTGCAATCTATGTTGGTGAAAAGAAGTAACTGCGTGTATAAAGTCATGGATATTTTGAAGAGTAAGTACGTAGACAAAAGTTACTATTATGGCCTCTCACACTAGCTCTAGGTCCATGCCTCTAGATGTCTACAGATCATCTCTACATGGATATTTTACTGTCATTTCAACTTTAAATATCCCAAACTGAACTTATCAGTTATCTTATCAGGGGAAAAAGGGAAGATGATAAGTTCGGTTTGGGATATTTTCTCCTATGGTCTTTTCACCCCGGAATATCCCTTCACCAAGTTGGCTGGCCCCCTTCTCACATTGCTGCAGTCTCACCCTAGAACTTCCTTTAGTACCTGGAGCCTCTTCAGACTAAAATATCCAACTAGTCCCATGGTCTTTTCGCCTCTCCACTCTGCTGGCCCCCATCTCCCACTGGTGAGTTCTTCCCAGGGCTTCCATTGGGAGGGGCCCAGACCAGCCAATCTTTTATTCCCCTTCCAGCTTTGCTTCTGACTTTCTGGCCTTGGTCAGCACGCTCTCACTTGGGTACCTCCTCCCTCTCTATTGCAAATAGAATATTTTATATATAACATATATATATAAAACATATATATACATATATTATCCATGATAT